ATAAGGTTGCAACTAGAAATCAATTTCAGGGAAGCCCCCATGACCCAACTCTCAGCATTTACATCTGAAAGATTTAGGACCCATGTTTACATCTGAACCACAAAACAGGGACAATAACACTCACTGGCAGCCAGGCACAGCAGCTCACACCTGTAACTATAGCACTTTGGGAGGCTGAGGCAGGAGGCTCCCTTGAGCTGAGGAGTTCCAGACCAGCCTAAGCAAGAGTGAGACCCCTGTCTCTACTAAAAATTGGAAAATTCGCCAGGCATTGTGGTAAGCCCCTCCCAGCTATTCAGGAGGCTGAGGCAGGAGGATCGCTTGAACACAAGAATTTGAGGTTTCTATGAACTAGACTGACACCATTGTACTCTAACCTGGGGAAGAGATTGAGCCTTTGTCTCAAAAATAAATAAATAAATACTCACTGGCCACAGTGACTGGGGATCTAGCGAGACAAAGTACTCCAAGTGCCCAGCACAGCACAGGGACCCTGTCTTCTGAGCACTCCTCCCATCCCCCCATAGAGGGGCATTTCACCACCAAAAGCTGGAGTCAGTGATGAAAAACAAGGACATCAGTAACAGGCCAAGAAGAGTAGGGATGGGGTACACCGCTGAGCAAAAGAAGAAGAAGGTAGAGAAAGCAAAGGCACATAGACAGGCCGGAGAAGGGGACCCTGAAAGAAGGTCGCTTTAGTGCAAGGGCCACCTGGGGCAGGAAAAGATTCAGCGACCCCCATTAACTTCATCTTTGGCAAGGACCTGAACATCCAAATGCCTGAGTTCTGGCCGGACTCTGTTACCCTGAGCAAGTCGTGACACCCAGACCTTCCAGCCCTCCTCTCTAAAGGGCTTGAGGGCTCGTTTCCAAGGGCACTTCAGTCCCTTCCACTACATCACCCTGCAACTTCTCCACTTATAAAAGCTGTGAGGCTTTTAGCTGGCGAAAAGGAACATAAAATTAAGATGAAGTCAGAATATTTGAAACCGGCTGACTCTCAAATTCCAAGACGTAAAATTAATTAAGTCATTAGCTGATAGGCTTAACTCAGGACGCCTCCCAAGAGAGTATGTAAATTAATTGCTTTCAAAGGAGTTAGCATGTTAAAAGGCTGCTCCAGAGCTCCCTAACATCTCCCCTCCCCCACATTTGGCCTAAAACTAGGGAAAGAAGGGAAGAGGGATGTTGGTTTTTGTTTGTTTGGGGCTTTGTTTTTAGCACTGGAGTACATAGCAAGACAGGATAATTGTAACAGTTCTGCGGACTGGAACTCACTATGCAGTTTTCTTTAGCTTGAATAGGAATCAGAGAAGAGGAAGATTCCGAGTATCTCTAAACAATGGGATTTTCTAAGCATGCTGGGAAATGGGTGTATATTGTAAGAACTAAGCAGGGAAAAGAGGAAATTTCAGGTTTGGGGGAGGTGCATCTTGCAGGATCTAGCAAACAATAGGCCCTACTAACCCCCTTCCCAGTTTACAAGCAGCTTGAAAGGCCTAACTCAGCTTTAGAGGTCTTCGAATTCTGGAGGCAGAAGCTAACGAACCGTCACAATTTGCCAAATAGATAATCAGTCCTGAAAAAAATGATCTACCACATCCAAGTGTTATCTAATAACCTCAGCTATTCCTTCTCTTAAAAACTATCCTTCCCCACCAAAAAGAGGAATGATGTGTCTGCAATCATGGAGTAAAGATAAAAGAGTAAACTCCCACAGGATTCTAACTCATTTTGCTCTTCTCAGGAGAAGTCTAAGCATGCCATAGGAAAAGGTGACATGCTTTGAAAACCCAGGCCAACCACAGGTTGCAGTCCACGAATAGAATTACACATTTCACAAGAACATCATGGTTTAATTGCTCAGGGCTTATGAATATTTTGCAATTTGCCATTATGTTTCCAGTGGAAGCCCCAGGATTTTTATTTGCATGATGAAACTGCCTAAATGGTAGCTTCGGCCTGGGTAGAATTTATTAACATCTTCATAAATGCACCCCATTGTAGCGGGTACACAAGTCTTTACAGAATGGTCTTTTGATGTGACTCCTGCATTTAAGTACACACTTTTTTTCCTTTTTCAATCAACAAAACTATGTTCTTAGCACCCAACAAGCCATGTAGTAGAGACAGAAACAATAAGACACTGACCCTGCCCTCCAGGCACTCACAACCTAGCATCTCTTTGGGAAGCTCATTTTTCTCTTAATTCTATATCCAGTTGTATAGTCACTGATCAGCATTTATTTATTCCAGCCCTGCTTAAACATTTTCATGCTGTAAATTATACTATTATTTCTTCTCTAAATGAGCACTTTGTTAACGATTATCTGAAAGCAACTATTTGGTGCTTAACTGTGCATGGACTGAATTAATCTAAATGCAAAATGTGTCCTAATGAACTCAAACAACCATCCCATATTTACTGAGATGCATGACTCCCAGGCAATACAAGTCACTGGGTTATAACCAACAAAATCCCCGGGGTGAGGGAATGCTCGGCACTATCATTAAAAGGGAACTGAACTCATTCACCTAAAAAAGATTTTTACCTAGTAGGCTATGAAGTTTGGTTTTTACCCTTAGAAGAATATAAAAATGTTCTGTGCCTGAAATTTGTGAAGATACAGATTTTCTCCCCTCCTCTTCAAGTTGAATATGGAGAAAGAATCTTTCAAATTGCTTTGTACCTAAAATACTGTTTGCCGTTACATTTCTACTGAGTTGATCTGAGATAATTAACTATGGCACATCACAGCATCAGGCTCAAAATTGATAGGGGCCAGGGACCTTGGGCCTGATTGTCACTAACATGGTATGGGCCACTGGCAGATAGATGATCACAAAATCCTACATTGTAAATAAAGAATGAAGGAAATGGTGGCTTTTATTTCTGTAAGAATAGAGAGAGTCAAGTGTCTGCTTTGGGTCTTGATCTATTTCCTCAAAGACGCAGTTTTATAAATACTTGGGTGATAGCTTTCTAATAGCGGAGAGAAGCTCCTCCCTTTTAACATGGTGTCTCCCTACAGAGCATACACAAACAAGAGTTTAGACACATCTTCTTCCTCTAAAAGGTACCAGGGAATAATCCCAGTGCCCACATTTACCCCGTATAAAGAATGGAAAACCTCGAGTGGACATAACTTGTTTGGAACAAGTTTTACGTTCTTCCCAGCCTCACACTAAACTATTAGCTCTGTAAAAAATAGATATTTTCTTTGCTCCTGCATCTGCCCTTTGAATAACAGGTTTGAACTTCTGGGGCTCCACCCCATCCTTTAACTTTGCCAAAGAACACTTTGCCTACAACTGACCCAATACTGCTGGACTCTGCCAGGCAAGAGAAAACAAATCTTCAGAAATCGCCATCTGCTAACCCTCCTCCCCAAAGCAACTCCTAGCCCAACTTGCATTTCAGCCAGCCCACCAACTCTCCCCAGCCCCCAGCCCACACCCTAGGAAGATATGTTATCAAACCAATTTCCCCTAGGACTGAACATTTACAGAGTAGGGTCTAAGTAAGAATTAACAAGATGAGTTTCCTGCTCGAAGAGATTAAAAAACAATATCACCACAACTTTAAGATGTTTTGGGGTATCCTGGAACTTCAAGGAAGGACCACATTCATCTGTAAAGTTCAGAAAATGCAAAAACAACCTTTTAAATGTAAAATATCCAGAATGTACAGTATGTAAACATAGATATTTACATATACATATTTTAAATACTAGTTAAGAAAAAGAACAGATAAAATCTTTGGTCAACTTTCCCTGGCTTCCTGTGCAGTAATAATCCTAGCTATCAATGGATAGCTGAAAATGAAATAGCTGGGATTTCAGATACCTGGAAAGTAAAAAACACATCTGCAGAGGAAAAAACAGAAATAGCTACACTTACTGTGCATCTACTATATGCCCAACAGGCTGCTGAGCACGTGAGGCACATCCATTCAGCTCAATCTCAGACAATGCAAGAAGCAAATCTCCTTTTCCTCGTTTTTCAGGTGATGAAACTGAGCTGAGAGGGCCAAGTAACTTGCCTAGGAATCCTGCAGTCAGTGGAGTTTGTCCCAGGTTAACTTACTTCAAAGCCCAGGACCTTAATCACTCACTGCTAAAGACTGAACAGTGTTTATCTTTCCCAAAGAAGACATCTCCTCCCGTCAGAAAAGTAAAAGATCTCAAAGTAAATCTACAGACTTTTCCAAGGATCTGCACATCTGACGATTCCAAATCTTTAAAGTAAAGTCGCCTTTTTATGTCAGACTGTAATCACCCCCACCCATCCCACTGGGTCCACTTGCCTAACTAACTACAGGTCCGCCAAAGCAAATCTATTAATTCTCCAAGGTATTCAACGCCCAGCAGGTTAAAGCTTCATCCTCCACGGATTTAAAAACTGTTTTCCAGAAACAATGCCAAACCCACGGGTGGTTTTAGTAGCTGGACGTTGCAAAACACATGACAACACAGATTTAGCAAAGTCAGTCCTATTGTTTTTAGGACAAAACAAATATCCTGTAATTCTACAAATTGAAAAGCTACGAATAGAGTAAGCAAACGTTTTGGAGGTTCTAAGTAAAGAAAGGGTTGTTTTTCTCTCACGGTCACATAACAAATGGCGCAGAGATAAACATCAGTAACATCAGCCTTTCCCCAAATCCAACACCCACCAAATACTATTTGTTTACATAGACTCTTTGAAGAACTCTTTGTAGCCTCTTCCGCACCAGCATCTCAGCAGGTGTCCCAGATTAAACTGCCCAGTATGGTACCCCAAGGTTTAACAAATATCTTTGATGCGATCCGTGGCTGGTTATTTTTTAATTAGGCATTGAAATCCTATACCGTGTGTATTTAACCCCCTAAGCGCTAGGGGAAGAGGAAGACGAGCGTGAGGAGCGAGGCTGCCCAGTGGGTGGGCGACAAGGGAGCACCCGGTTCCATAGGGACAGCTGCGGCCACGCTTCGTGCGCGTCCCCTCCCCAGGTAACTCACCAGGATGCCCATCACGTCGGTCCAGAGTCGGGAGAAAGCCTCGGAGGTGCCAGCGTCCGGCTCGGGCTCCCGCGCCGGCTCGGGCTCCGGCGTGGGCTCGGGCTCCGGCTCCGGCCCCGGGCCAGCCGCTCCCGCGTCTTCCATGGCCGCGTCCCGCGCGCCGGCCGCGCGTCCCGGTCCCCGCGGCGCCCTCGCCGGCACAGCGCGCGGCCAGCCCCCCGCGCCCGGTCCCCGCCCGCCGCGTCACCGAGCCGCGCCCCCGCGCCGCATGCCCCGGCCACCCGCGGGGGCTCCTCGCCAGCGTCCGCACCTCGGCCCTAGGTGGCCGCGGGCAGCGCCACTGACAACTCCAGAAACTTTCCCATTCCAACTCGGTTCGGCAACAGGGTAGCAGGAGGCAAAGTCCGCACCACTGGGTGGTACGGCGGGGAAATGGTTCAGACTAGAAGCAATTAACCCCGCTGCAAAGGCGTTTCTTCCTGTGACCGGGACCAACTACCCAAGGCACGCCACCCTTCTCTTCCAGCAAGTCTGGGCAGGGCCCTGCAGGGGTGACCGCGGCGCCTCTGGAACTTGGAGGGAGCTCCCCGGGACCCCTCTCTGTAAAATGAGCTCTTCCAGCTCCACATGACTTTCCCCTCGAGGCTAAAGAAAGCGTTTAGCAACAAAAGGTGCTCTGATGTCAGGCTCTTTGCATGGAAATGAGCCGCGGACAGGAGAACAAATCGCCTGTTGAAAGAGCAGCCGCGCTGCGCGCCCGGCCCGCACCAGCTCCCACTCGCGCCATTCACGGAAATGTTGTGGTCTCTGAAAGTCACAAGTTGATCTTTAAGTTACTCCCGCCCAAAGGGTTCGGGAGCAGTCAGTGTAACAATGCCCACCTCGCCCCGGGAGAGGTCGAGCGACCTGAGGAATTGCCACCCTGCCCGTCAGCCGAGACTTCGCCGAACACCAAGTGTGAAAGCTGGGGCGCGGGCCGCTGTTTGTTTCATTTTTATGAGTGGGGGCATTTTGGCTCCTGAGTGCCCTCGATGCCACGCACGGCCAGGGCTTTCAGCTAATTAGGGGAACTGTGTGTGCTTTGGGTCTTAAAGGTTCCTTTCCTTTACATTAAGAACATAGGAAATGGCTATTTTCAAAACTAAATGTTAATGGTTGTGGCCACTGAGCCTACACACGCTTGGGGCCCTGTATGTGTTTTTCCAAGGGGAAGATCCATGACGGATTTATTTTCTGAGGGAAATACCCCCGTAGAGATTATTTTTTCTTTTGTGATTCTTTCAAAACCACTCAGAGAATTTTTCCCTGGGAGATGACAATACCTGTCACATCTGATTTGGTCATTGATCACTCAGTGAAACAGTTAAGAAACCACAAAGGAATCTGCTTCTAAGTTGAAGAGCTGTGTGGCTAAAAAAAAAGAAAGAAAGAAAAAGAGGTGCCCCCAGGGAGAGAACCCTTGCTTGTTCCTGAGGCATATTCCTTTCTGTGTTTGCTTTGGGGTTTTTCCTTCCACGTAAAAGCAGATCAGAGCACGTCCTTGAAATCCTCTTGTAAAGCTTTATTTGCCAGGACCACCCATCGGTGCAATGGGTGAAGAATCCTTACAGGAAAGTTCCAAATGTTAAAACTTTCTAAAATGTATAAGCGCAATGATAATATTCTTGAAAGGAAACAAAAAGAATGAGAACGTTTTTTCCTTGATAGTATGGCGGCATTGTGTTGAGCAGAAAGAGCCCTGGTCTCCCAGTCAGTACAGCAGGCCTGATGCTTTCCTGGGCTGCCGCCCTTAGTCCAGATGAGTATCCAAGGCTCCTTTTGTGCTCCAGGATGCTGTGATTCCTGATAAATTCCATTAAAGCAGGTGGGGTTTTTGGTTTTTTATTGTCATTTTCATTAAAAAAAAAAAAGTCAATGATGAGCTAAGGCTAACAGCTTTTACAGCTGATTTAAATATTTTGTTAGCCTCGTGATACTTTTTTAAATTCAAGAGAATGCATGTAACTATGCTGTTTCCAAGGGGCAGCTTGTTCTCTGCATAAATACTTTCCGGTAAGTGACTGAGCAAGGAGTCCTGCGAGCAGAGCAGTTGGGTTTGGGACAAGTGCTGCCTCTCTAGCACCCACCAGGAGTCTTTTTCTTCTTGACTCATCAGATAACCTAGGGCAAAGCATTTGATCTTTGGTGCTGCAGTTTCCCCATCTAAAAGGAGGCAAGGTCAAGTTAATTACCACCCACTTCCTCAGAGGTGATAGTATGGTTTCCAGGTCATCTAAAGATAAATACAATTTAGTGACAGCAAACACATACATCAATTTAATAAAACCTGAGGCAGCATCTTGGCACTAATAGAAATCAACCTTCGGGGCGGTGCCTATGTCTCAGTGAGTAGGGCGCCAGCCCCATATACCAAGGGTGGCAGGTTCAAACCCAGCCCCATCCAAACTGCAACAAAAAAATAGCTGGGCATTGTGGCAGTGCCTGTAGTCCCAGCTACTCAGGAGGCTGAGGCAAGAGAATCGCCTAAACCCAGGAGTTGGAGGTTGCTGTGAGCTGTGACGCTACAGCACTCTACCAAGGGCAATACAGTGAAACTCTATCTCTAACAAAATAAATAAATAAAGTTGAACCTCTTTACCCATTAACTTTTGGGTAAACCTACAGCCTATTTAGGTCATTAAGCAACATAAGAAAGACAACTGGTACATTGTTTGCCATATTAAGGAAAATTAAAATAGAGAACAGGACTAAAGAATCCCTGAGCAGATAAAACCAGGTAAGCCTCATAAGTGACTTCACCCTTGCTTGATTCACAAACATAAGCAAAACTTAACTTGAGGTATTTCTTGTAAATGCCTATATTGAAGAAAAATACAACTTAAGCTCAACAAATCAGAAGTAGGCAACAAACTTATGTAACTAGGGACTTTCCCAGGGGACAGGCTGAATAAAGCAACTGTATAATTGTAACAAATCGAATGTTTTCTTTGCTTTATATCCTATAAAGGGCTCCCCTTTGCATTCCCAAGGTGGAGCTCCTAAACCACTCTGGTTTGAAGCTGCCCAGTACATGAATCACTATTTGCTCATATAACATTTTTTTTAATTTAATGTGCCTCACTCTATCTTCTTATTTATTTTTGAGACAGAATATCACTCTGTTACCCTGGCTAAAGTGCCATGATATCAGCCTAGCTCACAGGAATCTCCATCTCCTGGGCTCAAGTAATCTTCCTACCTCAGCCTCCCAGGTATGGCTAGGCTTACAGGTGCTTGCCACCACACCCAGCTAATTTTTCAATTTTTACTAGAGATGAGATCTTGCTTTTGTGTAGGCTGGTCTTGAACTCCTGAGCTCAAGCAATCCACAGGCCTCGGCCTCACATGGTTCTAAGATTATAGGCATGAGCTACCATGCCTGGTCAATTTACTTTTTTTTTCTTTGAGACAGAGTCTCACTATGTCACCATTGGTAGAGTGCCGTGGTATCACAACTCATAGCATCCTCAAACTCTTGAGCTTAAACGATTCTCTTGCCTCAGCCTCCCAAGTAGCTGGGATTACAGGCACCTGCCAAAACACCCAGCTATTTTTGTTGCAGTTGTCATTGTTGTTTAGCTGGCCCGGGCCTGGTTCAAACCCACCACCCTCAATATATGTGGCTGGAGCTGTAACCATGGGGCTACAGGCTCTGAGCGCAATTTACATTTTTAATAGCAGTAAAGGTACAGTTTCAGAGTAGAAAGCACAAATATAATAAAGTCAGCACAAAGCTCAGTTTTAATTCTTACTCAAGTTTCTATAAGACATTGGGCACATTATTGATCCCATCTGTAAAATGGGAAAACTCCTCTACAGTTGTTGTGAGGTTACCTGTGATAATGCGGGCACCTCTAGAACCTTTCTCCTTTCCCCTCCCTTTGCTCCTCCTTGCCCTACTTCTTACTGGGCGAGGCATATCTATAAATAGGAAATGTCTTTGTTCATACCTATGCCTCTTGACTCACACAGAGGAGTAATTCCTAACTCCAGTATGTGTTTGGAGAGGGGACCTCTGGCAGGATGGGGCCATTAGGATACTTCAGTTTCCACAATAAAGGTAGTAATCGCATCAATAACAATAGCAATTATCATTTATTGAAAACCTACTTTTTGCCAGGTTTGAATTTTTTGCTGTGTTTGAATTTTAAAAATAACTCCTGACACTTTACCCTTCTCAAAGTGGAACTCATGATTTTCCACCTTGATTCAGCCCTCCTTCCCTTTCCCCATTTAATCCTCAGTCACCATCACTCTTACCTAACCACAGTTACACCCTGCTGATTCAACAACCAAACTCAGGCTCAAATTCACCCACTTCTCTCTATCTCCATCACCACTGTCAGAGACCACAGTATTCTCCTGGGATTTTATCCAAAGCAGTGTCTCTCCGGAGTGTGACCCCACAACACAATCATTAGCATCACCAAGGAATTTCTTAGAAATGCAAATTTACTGGCTCTACCCCATGGCAGTGTCAGATACTCTGGGGGAGGGTCCAGCAATCTGTGTGTTTGTGGTTTTTGTTTGTTTGTTTTTTGAGACAGGGTGCCTAGGCATCATAGCTCATAGCAACCTCAAACTCTTGGGTTTAAGGGATCCTCTTGCCTCAGATTTTCTATTTCTAGTAGAGACAGGGTCTCACTCTGGCTCAGGCTGGTCTGGAACTCATGAGCTCAAGCAATCCACCTGCCTCAGCCTCCCAGAATGCTAGGATTACAGGTGTGAGCCACTGCGCCCTGCCCAGCAATCTGTGTTTTAACAAGCCCTCCTTGGGGTAACAAAACTGCTCAAATTGGAGAACCTTGCAAACTATGGATATGTCAAATTAAGGAACTGGAGCACGATGCTGAGGACATAATGACCTTTTAAAATAGAGTACAGCATACTAAAAAGCTATACCAGTAGATTGTTACCAAAACTTCACTGGTAAATCCTGCCAGGTGTGGTGGTTCATGCTTGTAATCCTAGCATTCTGGGAGGCTGAGGCAGGAGGATCCCTTGAACTCAGAAGTTCAAGACCAGCCTGAGCAGAAGCCAGACCTTGTCTCTATTTCAAGGCACTACTAGACTACTAGTAGTAGTCCCATCTACTTTGGAGGCTGAAGCAGGAGGATTGCTTGAGCCTAGGAGTTTGAGATTGCCGTGAGAGAGGTTGAGGCCTGGGGACTCTAGCCTGGGCAACAGAGATTTGACCTCAAAAAGAAAAAAAATGTACTGGTAAAAGCTGTCATGAGATAAATGGTGAATGAATGTAGACCCCCAATACAGATATTTGGAGGTATTTGGTTTTAAGGGGCAAATAATTAAATATTGAAATTAAAATACATTCTCCATAAAAATAGCATATGTTTTCAGAACACAACTTTGTTTAAATGCTTCTTATTTTAAAAAGACGACAGCAACACATTTTCTGCTTGTAGCAGAGATTAAATCTGAAAGATTATAAATAGTCCAATTTATTTTTTACCATACTGCCTGCCACTGAAATTGAGCAATGAAAATAGCTAAGCTCATTTAATTTTGCCTACAGTCAGCAGCCCTCTCGGGCACTCCCACACTGGGCATTC